CCAGAGAAAGTTATTCAACCAGAGAAAGTTATTCAACCAGAGAAAGTGGCCCGGAAGAGAGATGGAATCTTGGCAGTTTTCCAGGAGAGGAATGTAGGGAGTTTGGTTTTTAAAAAGATGGTGATGGCAGTCATTATAAAAGGAGCAACAGGAGAGGGAGCCATTTACACCGTCAGCTTTCATGAGGGCCAAGGAAGAAAACTGGAAAAAAGTTAGGATAGAAACACTGGTGATGCATAGTTGTAATTTCTTTCTGCCAGGAAATATAAATAGATCATGAAACCAATTACACTGGATATATTAAACAGGTCCAAGCTAATACATGTTAGACATAACTAATTCCTCCTACCTTGACTACCAAAAGTAGCAATTGGCCTACTAAACACCTCACATGACAAGTCAATAAGAATATTGGGAGACTGATCCCAAACACTGATCAAGAGCAATTCAACACCTGGTTCAGTCTCCAATGAAACTAAGGTATTCAAATTTTGGATTCATACATTTTTGAATGGTAAAGTTCAAAGCCAATTTGAAAAAAATGCCATTTGTCCTCATGGAGAAAGTAACGTAGACTCTACAGTTTCTGCAAGTTTTATGTCATCAAAAGGAGAAGCCGTATGATTCAGTATGAATCAATGGGAGACACCCAAACGTTCAGATTTCATATGTCTGAAGTTCTCAGTGGGATATAACCAACTCTAAAAAGGGACAGACAGAGCAGAGACAGTTTCCAAGTTTTATTTCGAGGAGACTGAATAGTGGTAAATTTATCTACATTAACAATGCCACAAAGTGATTAATTTGAAATTCCAACAGAAGCCCACTCTTGAAGTATATTTCAGATATCCATTTTACTTTTGAAAATCTAGAAAATAATTGCGTTATAATACAGGACTTAAACACTTCAAAAAGGGAAACCAATTTATACATTATAAGAAGAAATATGCTCTCAAGCTATATAAACTAGCACCCCTGCTTCTGTGTCCTGGTCCTGATGAGCACAAGGTGAATAAAGTTGACTTCATCTCTTTTCAGCATTTTTAAAATTCAGAACAAAGTTTCAGTGATCATTTCAGGAAATCCAAAAATGGTTCCAAAATAATATGTAAAAGAATATATTTCTCAGTGGTATAAACTAAATATGATAAATTAAATATTGTCATTACACCCTCATTAAAAGTGTCACAAGTAAATAATTACAGTAAAGTCACATTACCCTAAATGACAAAAGATAAATAAGAAGGGAAGACATACCCATCATGATTGTAAGATGCCAGGACCACACTTGGGCTAGAGTATGCGTTGCTTGTCACCCAGGTGCAGTGTACAGCAAACATCATCAGTAACATTAGCATCAGCATAGTAACAATACTCTTGATATTTGGACCAAGTCCCTCTTCAGTGTTTTCTTGTTCAGATACATGCTTTCTCACCTTGCCAGCCTACAGCAATCAATGAAAAATAATTAGAATAGAGTTTAGACAAACATAGAAGTAAGATACCTTGCACAACATTGCCATATCCCAAGACAAAAGAACTCTCACATTGGAGTTACCATTTCACCTTATGTTATTTTGGGTACCCAGTGGGAGAAAAAGCCTTATTCAAGACTTACACTTTATACAGTAACTGCTGTTTGCTAACAACATTCGACAGAGAGGAAAGATTTTAAAGTGACCTAACGGGCAACTTTTTCATGCAGAGGTTGGTGCATGGACTGAGCTGCCAGAGGAAATGGTGGAGGCTGGTACAATTACAATATTTAAAGGGAATTTGGATAGGTATGTGAATAGGAAGGATTTAGAGGGAAATGGGCCAAATGCTGGCAAATAGGACTAGGTCAGTTTAGGATATCTGGTCAGCACAGACGAGTTGGACCGAAGGGTCCATTTCCATGCTGTACATCTTTATGACTCTATGATGAAAAAGCTCATAATATAGATAGAAGAATGAGGGGCCTGAGAGATACTTTGCAGAAGGAAACAAAACAAACTTGGCAACTGGGCTAAGCAGGCTTGAACTTGCAAGACCAAGTAGGAAAGCATATAAATTGTTGAGAAAGCCTCATATAGATTGTAGAAGTGAGACTAAGTTTTAGTGACTGGAGAAGCCAGCTTAAAAAAAAAGCAGAAATAATAAATCCACTAGCGATGCAACAGCAACTTTTGACTCCTCTTTCGGTGGAGAAAACTCAACTGATGTTGGGCTCAAATGTATCCATGTCCTTTACCTTGTCATAGAGATTTCCAGAATTCCTCTTGTCATCCTCATCACTGCTGTCCTCAACAGGTGGACTTTCCCTCTGTGTGTCATCACCGAGATAGTGTTCAAATACATTGGAGAATGCAATGGCAGACAGCATGCAGACAACTGGGGTGAGAGTCAGCATCAGACGCACCATAACTCCGGCAAAGTAAACAGCACTGATTGCATAAAGGGCAACTGTGGAGAGTATAGATCACAGGTATTAGCTTACATTCTAATTTAAACTTGTGTAAAGTTATGAAATAAAAACCCCAAATTTGTCCCCCCAGAGTTTGCGTTCTGAAATCCAACCATCCTGGCAACCAACATGTTCTGTATTTGCAAAATTTATTTAAACTGTAATAGACACAATGGTTGGATGCTTCCTGACAACTTGCAGTGAATATCCATACAGTACTAAGCATACTTCAGCAGTTTACTAAATACACACATTTATATTCAAAGTGATGGCAATAACATTTTTAAAACTGATTTTAATAACTCAAAAGTCAAAATAGGATCTATAGAAATGTAATAGACAGTGTCCTTAATCATAGTTCCACAAAAACTAGATTGTGGCGTCCACTTCATCTCATTCAATAAATCCATCAGCAGTTTTCATAGCTTTTTAAAAACACCAAGTGGGGAATTCTAACAATCCATTTAATGTCATGCCCTTTGCTTCTCCACATATTTCCTCCTGTTTTCAGATGCAGCTCTGTCCACCAGAAAACAGCACATCATAACCAAACCAGACAGCACGTACTTCTGATCAGTAAAATACATTTTCAGATTTCTAACTTGCGATAACATTTTCTTGTCATCCAGCTAATGACCCATTTTAATCAAATGTAAAGTATTTCAGAAAAATAAATCATATAAATCTTCCTTGTTTGTGTATGTACTGGGGCATAACACTGTTCATCAACCAATAATAAGACAGCTCAAATCTGCAATACAGAAATGCAAATTTTCAATTTGCAGGTGCTTGAGCACTTGTTTTATCGCAAATTCATTCCATTTTATGGAAAGTGAGTAATAGTTCAGTAATGGAGATGATTATAGCTGGCACTTTAAATTTACATAAATAGTCATGTTGCTCACTAAGCTTTGATGGAGATTTACTTCACCACATGGCCACATATGAATTCACACTGATATTCATGGTTTCATCTTCAAATTAAAATTTAACATTATGTGCCAATATCCCATTCACACAGAATACTATGAAATAAGAAATGTTAGACAGCACCATTGTAAAATGTTCAGTTCTCTTTGTGAATCAGTGAATAAAAAGAAGTTTAAGAATGATAAAATGAGACACAAGTGCTCAACATTCTTTCTGCTGTCTATTTAGATTATCCTATTTTCTTACCTGCCCTTTGACTACCCATCACCTGATGTCAAGGTGATAATCTGCACTCAGATGCACTACCAGCATTGTTCTTGCTCAATTACTTCTAGGTATGGAAGGTGTGCAAGGTTTCTTCCACACACAAACCAGCCCTGCAATTAAAAGCCATCTTCCACTGAGCTGTGACTGAATTCAGAATATCAATAGAGATATCTGAGCTTGTACTCTTTCTGCAATAATTGCCCAGGCTACTTCCACAATGTCCCTAGTGACTATATAAGAAATAAAAACAGCAAGGTGGCTCTCTAATTACTCATGCCCAACACATCACAAGACAATTGAATTATTGCTTACATTAATTCCAGGTGTGGTATCACTGAATAGCCAAATCCCTAGTTGTCCCTAAGAGTCAACCATATTGATATGGGTCTGAGTCACATGTAGGACGGACTGAGTAAGGATGGAAGTTTCCTTCCCTAAAGAGCTTTAGCTTTTCCCAACAATTGGTAATGGTTTTGTGGTCATTACTCTTAATTCACACTTTTTAATGAATTCAAATTCCATTATCTGCCATTGTAGGCTTTGAACCCAATATTTGGGTCTCTGGATTAATAGCCTAGCAATAATACCACTAGCTCATCAACTTTCCTGATGTGAAGCTTCTTTTACTTAAGTCTTCGCTTGCACATTCTCTCAAAACTAAATATTTTTCACAATTACAATTCTTCAAAACAATAATTTTTGAACTTAATTGTAATTCCACAGTTAGAAAACTTAAGTGGTTACAATGCAAGTTCTACCTTGTAGCATTTTCAATACTTCAACATTTAATCTAAAAATGGACAATGTTTCTTACCAAATACTCGTTCATCATTAATGTTTTTGATGCAGAACCACAGGCCGGCTGGGAAAGTGCAGACCAGTATGTGAAGGTCAAAAAAGAAGGAAACCCATGTTGTCGGCTGATGTTCAGATACAGAAGCAATGATGGGAATATGGATTTTTGCGTACCTACAGAAAAATAACAAAGGTTAATTTATGTATGTTCCATCTCAACAACATAAACACTGAACAGGATCATAAAAAGTCAATGCACACAAACGCAAGTAGGGTACCAATAGGGTGTATTAGTAGTCTGTATTTTGTCAAAGTGTCCATAAAGTGTTGGAGTCCACCTGCAAACCACACCAAATACTTCAGCTGGCAGGTTGGGGCAATCTGGATATAGATTAGTATTGTGTTAGATATTTGTACTCAGCTCCTTTCCTGACCCCTAGTTTCTGCACTTAGGTCAACACAACCTCATTGGCTTCCCAAGCCGAGAAATTTACCAGGGTTGGCAAGGAGTTAGATAGAAGCATCAATACCTGCTGCACTGTGAAATCGACAGGTTGGAAAGCCACTGAATACTGAAATAATACATTTGCTCCCTTGCCTAGGTGAATGGCCTTGGTTTACAGACTTGTTCTAAGAATGCACTTCATTGTTTTACAATTGATTTCAATCATTTTTGATGCCATTTCTGCTACCTTGAATTTTACTGTTAGATCAGTACTTCTCGTCAGCTTTCAATACAACATGGGTCAGTTTATGCAGCTTCACTTTGCACTTCTGAACAGATCAGGAAAGTGGAACCAGCAACATCAACAGCAGCAGTCTTCTCCTCTGCCACAGGACAGAAGAGATGGGGTCCAGCTCCAGTTTTAAGGAGGCAATACTTCTAGCACAGGGATTCCAGAACAGAGTCAGTTCTCAACATGACAGTATGTCAAGAAGCTCAGGCTTCCAAACAGGTCATTGTCAGAATCTGCATCTTCCTACAATAAGATCCCCTTCCCAATGGACTTGGTGGCCATCCAAAGACATTGTCATCAAGTTACCAACTGCCATGAATTTCTTTGCTTTCAGCTCCTTCCATGGATCTGTTGATGATATTTGCAGGATTTTACCATTTGGTACTGACAAGTGGATTTCCCAGGTGATTGTGCAATGTTTACCAGATCAATATACACATTCACTTTGCCATTTTATGGGATCAATCAGAACTGGAAAATTCTTGGCTCTTCAATCACAGAATCAAAGCAACAGGTACAGGGAGTCAGTGATTGTACATGAGACAATTGAGATGCCTTCAGATCAACCAGTCAAGAGATTCTGCTTTAACATTCATCTACATGACTATTTGAAGGACTACATGCACCACTGCAAAATATTCCACACACTGCCACGAAGCCTTCATTCAGTACCTGTCACATCTCTCATAGGTCTTTTCACTTTCTGATTTAGCAAATGGCTCATTGGAGACAAGGGCTACCCTCTAAATACATGGATCCATTGCATTAGTGGCAGGGCTTTTTGTGAAGGAAAGGTATATACAGAACCACATGGGTATGAGAAGTTAATAATTCAGTAAACCACTTGGGGGTGGGGGTGGTGTGGGGAGGAGGTGGGCGAAGATGCAATTCAGTTGCCTGGAAAGATTAGGGGCGCCCTTTATTATGCATTAGCAGCAAAACTGTTCAATAGTGCTTTTGTTATACCTTGCACAACAGAACATGGCACAAAGGACTGAAGCTGCAGGAAAATACGGTGAGAGCTGCTCTACATCCTGAAAGAGCTTGACTTGACCCAAGTCTTTACAGCTGAAGACAGTAATAGCATTCCAAAAATACTAAAGGGAAAACTAATTGGACTAAAGATTCCTAGACTTGATGGATTGCATCCTGGGAAATTAAAACAAAGTAGCTGCAGAAATAGTGGGTGCTTCTGTACTAATCTTTCAAGAATCTTTAGACTCTAGAAAAGTTCCAGATGATTGGAAAACTGTCAACGTAACACACTTATTCAAAAAGAGATACAAGACAAAAAGGTACTGCACACAGCTACTTTATGAGATAAGAAACCATAGTGTTGATGGTAGCATATTAACATAGATCAGACCTGACTAACTAACTAATTAAGAGAGAATCAGGATTTGGGAGTTGTTTTTGGGATCGCAACCTGTAACAAGTGGAGTGTGACAGGGATCAATGCTGGGTCCACAATTATTTACAATATATAATTAGTTACTTGGATTAGGGAAGTGAATGTACTATTGCCAAGTTTGCAGATGATACAAAAACAGATGGGAGGGCAAGTGTGAGGACGACACAAAGAAGGCTACAGACAGGTTAAGTGAGTGGGCAAAACACTTAGCAGATGGAATATAATAAAGAGAAAAAGTCAGGTGATGCACTTTGGCAGGAAGAAGGGGAGTTGAATACAATTAAAATGAATAAAGATTACAGAAAGCTGCACTGACGCGGAGGTGCCGGTATTGGACTAGGGTGGGACAAGGTCTAAAATTACACAACACCAGGTTATAGTCCAACAGGTCTTCAAATAAACCTGTTGGATTATAACCTGGTGTCACGTGAAAGCTGCAGCACAGAGGAATTCTGGCGTTCTCTTACATGAATCACAAAAGCTTGCATACAAGGTCAGCAGGTAATAGGAACAGCAAATGGAATTTTGGCCTCATTTCAAAGGAAATGGAGTATAAAAATAGGGAAGTTTGTTACTTCCTACTACCTAGAACACTAAGAAAATGTTTGGTCCCCTTATCAAAGGTTTGGAGGCAGTCTGGAGAAGGTTCACTAAAGTGATCCTGTGTGTGAGGAAACAAAGAGTAGGTTGGGTCTGTACTCATTGGAGTTAAGATGAATGAAAAGTGGCCTTACTGAAACATTCTTAGCAGGCTTAACAGGGTAGGTGCTGAAAGGCTGTTTTCCTTCGTGGACATGTTTCTGTGACTATGTCCTGTAGTCCACGACAAGGAATTACCTGCTTATGACCGAGATGAGAAGGAATTTCTTCTTTTGGAGAGTAGTGAAGAATTCTACAGATTCACTGCAGACAGCTATAAAGACTGGGTTATGATGTATATTCGAAGCTGAGATAGATTTTTAAGATCAGTAAAAATCAAAAGGTTATGGGAAACAGACAAAAAGAGTGGAGGTGAAGATTATCAGATCAGCCATTATCTCACTGAATGGCATAGCAGAATTGATGGGTCAAACAGCTTACTTCCATTCCTATGTCTTTGACTATGATATTTATGGCCACTGAACCAACTGCCTGAAAAGCCCTCAAAAGACACATCCAAACCTCACTCACATAACCGGATTACAAGAAGCCAATAGCAATGCTGAAGTCACTGTTTTCTTCCCTCAACACAAATTACTTCCGCAGTCAATAATTTCTCCATTTCATTCATACCATTTGTTTGTCTTCCACTACGATCACAACATTCTCAAGGCCACCTTCCATTTGGAAGGTTGAAGATAACAATGAAGATGACTAGACAATGGAGATGTGGAAGAAAGCACCTGATTTTTTTTATTAAACCTTTTCAAATACATCAAGGCAATAACATTGCTATAAACACCCAAGTGAATCCCCTGGTGCAACTAAGAAATATTTATTTCCATTATCAATTACTTCCACGTTATACAAGCTTGTGATTTCAGAAGAGCTGGAGGCAGACAGCTTGTTTCTCTGCTCTTACAGCTGAGATGTTGTTGGCGATGGCCGGTTGGATTAGAGGCCCACAAAGGTCTGCCAAAGACTCTACTCTATCTGTACCTGTGCATGCATAGGCTCTGACAGGAGATAGCACATAGGGCTCTGGTCCAAGCACACTTTCCTGCCAGTTAAAAGTTGGAGTATACTTTTCTGCACTTTAGTAAACTCTCAAGGCTTGGCTTTCCTCCATCTGGCTTGAGAGACCAGATGTGCAGGAATTGCTGATACGCTCAATGCACGTGCACAGAAGTAAACATTAGCACAAAAGTCTGAGGCATCTTGAGTCATGGCAGAGACACAAAGGATGCACAGTGCTAACAGGACTTCACACACATTTTGTTGTGGCTACAGAATTGCTACTGGCTTCAACATTTGTATTCAGCTGAATACAGCCAAGTGTTTTTTTCCAGGACTCCAGTTCATACAATGCCCCTGTGGCAGCAAGATCAACGGAACAGGATGATGATTTGGAGGAGCTGGAATAGGCAGAACGGGAGAGACAGAATTTGTGATAGGACAGCAACTCCTCAGAGGTTGTCTTTTCTCAATTCACTGCTCTTCTAATCAAACTCCGCTGCCTTTCTGCTCTCAAGACGACAACTGCGTCTGCAATTGTTCAACCCCTGGCTTTGGAGGGGCCACCATGTAAAGCAATATTTTAGTGATCTTTCTTGGATTATTGCCCTTCTGCTTTCTCGTGGATTCCTTATAAAATGGAGGGTAAATTTGCCTGCCATCCCCATAAGTTTTCAACTCTGTCCTACTGCTTTGGTGGAGGATGTGTACAAATTGTGTCAATACTTCCTCAGAACGAGACATCCTTCTTTAGCTGTTTTGTCACAATTGAAGGACACGTGGTAGATGAGTGACACAAATTTGAATTGAGAAGAGGAAAGGGTTCAAGGTCATTAATATAAAGAATTAAATTTTTTCTGTAACCGATGACAACAATTCAATCCAAGTGACTTCCATATAGCATATGCCAACATGATTCCCGATTCCTGATTCTGTCACCAGATATCTGGGAGACTGCCCCCTCTCCGTCATCAATGCAGTGCACTGTCTGAATCTGCCTGTCTCTGTAGCTGCCTCCTGGGCCCTAAAGCCCGCCAGCCAAATCAACAGGAATCTTTCCAACATTCCTCATAACTAATTTCCTGAGTTTTTCCTATAAATCTGGAATCCCCTACTGATCAAGAATCTATTCATCCCTGTCTTAAGCATAAACAAGGGTCTGCCCCACAACTTTCTACGGAAAGGAGTTTCAAACACTCAACCCTCAGAAGAAATTCCTCCTCATCTCAGTCTTAAATTTGCATCCCTTTATTCTGAGACTGTGTTCACTGGTCCCACACTCTCCCACGAGGGGAACATCCTCTCAGCGTTTACCCTGTCAAGGCTGTTATGAATCCTACATGTTTCAGTGATCACCTCTTATTTTTCTAAATTCCAAACAATAGATTCCCGACCTGTTTAACTTTTGCTCTTAAGACAATCCCTCCACATCGGGATCATCCTCGTGAACCTTCTCTGAAGTATTGAAATAATACTGTTCCTTAAATAAGGGGACCAAATTGCTTACAGTACTCCAGGTGTGGTCTCACCAGTACCTTGTACAGTCGCACCAAGACTTCCGTACTCTTGTATTTCAACCCCTTAAAATAAGGACAACTATTCCATTAGCCTTCCTGATTACCTACTGCTCGTGCACTAGATTTCCATGTTTCGTGCGCAAGTACCCCCAATTCCCTTTGTGTTGCAGCTTTCTGCAATTTTTCTCCATTTAAATAATACTATCCTTTTGTCCTCCCTTCCAAACAAGCAACTTCTCATCTTCCTACATTATACACCATTTGCCAACATCGTGTCCACTTACTCAACAATATCTCTTTATAAACTGTTTGTATCTCTCTCAACTTGCCTTTCCACCTGTTTTTTTTTATGTCTGCAAATTTGGCTACATTACATTTGACTCCGTCCTCCAAGTCATTAATATATCGTAAACAGTTATGGATCCAACAGTGATCTCTGGTACCCCACTGGTTTCATGTTACCAACTTGATAAAGAATATCTCACCCTGTTTCGTCAATGTGGAGCTGGAGGAACACAGCAGGTCAGGCAGCATCAGAGGAGCAAGAAAGACAACGTTTCAGCTATAAACCTGAAACGTCGACTTTCCTGCTTCTCTGATGTTGCCCGACCTGCTGTGCTCCTCCAGCTCCACACTGTATTGACTCTAACTCCATTATAGCCAGTTCTTGCTACCTCCATTACCCTGTTTCACGTCCACCAGCCAATTCTCTATCCACACCAATATACTACTTCCAACACTGTGGGCTCTGATGGCTTAAACTTTTGAGAGATAAGTTGTTGAATGCCTTCTGGAAGTCTGAGTACAACACATCTACTGGATCCCCTCTATTCGCACTGGTGGAGACTTCCTCAAAAAAACTCAAATAAATTAGTCAGACATGATCCCCCTTTTATGAAGGTATGCCAACACTGCTCGATTAGATTACGATTTTCCAACTATTTTGTTATTACTTCCTTAATAATTGATTCCAATATTTTTCCATCAATACCCGTTAGGCTAATCAGCCTATAGGTATCCACTTTTTGACTCCCTCCCATTTTGAATAGGGGCATCACACTGGCAGTTTTCCAATCCTCTGGTACTTCTCTAGAATCCAAGTATTTTTGGAAAATTACAGCCAATGCATCCACTATCTCTGTAGCTACCTCTGAGGATCCTAGGATGCAAGCCATCAGGACCAGGGGACCTATCTGCCTTTGGCCTCCACTAGACAGATGACAATGACTGAAGAGCCACCCTAGTTCACTGGAATTCTGCATTCTTTTCCTGCAAGAGGAAATAAACAGAGGCAGGAGTGTAAGAAATGGATTGTGCGGCAAGAATGAAATGACAATTCTAGACATTGACTGCAAGGAATGGATGTGATATTGCAATAGGACGACGGTAAGTCATTTGGATGGGGAAGTAAATGGGTGCCAACAGAACAAGTGAGAGCAGTATGACTAGTGCTGTGAGGTCTGTTGGTCTGAGCTCTGTGCAGGTGAATACCAGAGAATTGGCATGTCACTTTTCCTGCCCTTGTCAAGTTACTGAGATTCTTGTAGCAATGAATGCTGCTGCATGATACCATATTCATCTACTCGCTTTATCTGCCACATTCTCTTTATTTGAGAGATTGTTTGTTTCTTTCCTGCTATGGGAAATACCCTCTGTGGTCCTCAGTTTGAAGCACAACCTCTAGTGAATCATAGAACTTGTTGGTGTCTACCAACCTCATGCTTTCATTCTTCTGGTTGGTGAACCTTCATTTATAATTTCCTGAAATGAAACCATTGAATCCTTTGAGGGTCCCTTTAAATGATTTAATTGACAGGCAAAGTTCATCAACACATCCGCACTCTGACCGGTTGTGAAACCTGAAAACAGGTGTTAACACTGTGGTTGAGCAGTTATGGTAAAGACCACTCCGGTGACAATCAGGTTGCTGATTTGCTGACTGCTTCCTTTACTGCAAGCAGGTCAGTTTCATTAAAATTCTACACAGGTTTCCAATCCTGTCATTAGAGGACAATGAGAAAATGAGAATTCAGTCCACTCAGATAGATTTATCAAGTTTCCTATTAACCGCTACAATAAAACAAAGATCAATATTATTTCTAGGTGGTGGCATTGCCAGTTCTTATACTAAATAAAAGAATGTGTATGTATCCTGCATGCACCACTGGCTAAGTGTCCCACATTGAGTGGCACTGTAATACTTTATGGTGTTTAAGAGAAAACATGTATTGCTACAAACTCAATAGCACTGCAAGAATTGTGACCTGTCGTCAGTGGAACACAACACAAAGGAATTTATCCTTCATGAGATTTTGACTATTTGAGCAATAAAGCTAGATTTGTTCAATTAAATCAGCTTTTGCTACTTGCAAATTTCAGTGCAGTAATCATGATAAACACCAAATCTCAATCTCCTGAAGATTCTGACAAAATTTAAAAAAACAACCAAACCGACTGATATCTTGCATTGCTACTATTGAACTGCAGCAGTCTCAGAGGTACGTTTGGATACAGCAGATGGACCAAAATTGAATAGTTTATAAATGCAAACTATTACAATAATCTCTGTCTCTCAACCCAGCCCATCACATCACCCCCTCAAAGAATGATCACACATACGCAGGTCTTGTCATCCTTACCCTGTATCCCAGAGTGAATAAAATCTCCCACTCCACGGGGCAATATAGCCTGGAACAAAAGAAGTTGCAACATTTGCAATGTTTCCTCATTTGTTAAAGTATTTTAAATTCAAACTGAAGACATCCGTGTAACCAGGCAGGTATAAATTCATTATAAATTTTAAAAGGACATATTACCATTGCAAAATGAACTTTAAGTTCTGTAACACAACAAATCACAAAGAAAAATTGCAACTCCAACCATTTACCATCACCTAACAAAAGGAATACAAAAAAAAATGACAGCACAAGGGATTCCCAGCAGTAGGTTTCCACATAAGGGAAAACAAGCATTGAATAATCTAAGGTAATTCTTCATTTACGAAAAATTTACCTGACAGACTCCAATTCAAACCAGGAAAAATTTTGAGATCAAAAACAGAAGCTCCAGGAAAAGCTCAGCAGGTCTGGCAGCATCTGTGAAAAGAAAATCAAAGTTAACGTTTTGGGTCCGGTGACCTTAGAACCGGACCCGAAATGTTAACTCTGATTTTCTCTTCACAGATGCTGCCAGACCTGCTGAGCTTTTCCAGCAACTTCTGTTTTTGTTCCTGATTTACAGCATTCGCCGTTCTTTTAAATAAAAACCAAAATTTTTTGATCCTACTTCTCCATTCACAATTTTTTGAAACTGGACAATATTCATCCATGTCTCCACCTCTGCTATTCAACTCTACATATATAAATTCTCATGCCCAGAAGGAAACATCTCCTGTAATGTTTCATCAAGAACTTTTAATGTTAGTGCCAACTAAAACTCTGTCACCATGTCTTGAAATTTCAGTTTCAAGACTCAGTCCAGGGAAAGAGGAGAGTTCAAGGCTGATACCCCTGTGTAGTACTAAGGGAGAGTTTGCTGTCTGTCTTTCATATGAGACATTAACACAGGCCCCAGCCCAGGTGGATGTAAAAGATTCCAAATGCACTCTGTTGAAGCAGCATCTCTGGCGACCTAGCCGATGTTCATTCCTCATTCAACATAAAAGCAAATTATCTGGTCATTACCACATTGCTGTGTGGGGAAGTTAACTGTTTGCAAGCCGGCTGTCAAATTTCCTACAATAAAACAGTACTTCAAAAGTACTTAATTGGCCTTAAAATGCTCAAGACATCCAGCAGTTGTGACATTCTCCATGTTTCTAGCCAACTTGCTTCAAAAATTAATCGAAGTGGTTTCTTTTCCACACTATCTATAGCCTCATATTTGTGTGCACCTCTCATCAGGCATCCTCTAAGCTTTGCTGCTCCAAGGAAAACTTCATCATTTTCCAAGACAACAAGGTGCAGGGCTGGATGAACACAGCAGGCCAAGCAGCATCATAGGAGCAGAGAGGTCATCATTTTCCAATCTTTCATGATAGCTCAGATACCCAATCCAGGCTATTATCCCAGTAAACCACCTCTGCATATTCTGTAGTGCATCAAACCTTCCTATACATATGGTACTAGAGCTGCACACAATACTCCAGTTATGACCAAACCAGAATTTTATACTGTTCCAGTGTAACATCCCTGCTCTTGTATTCTATGTTTCAGCTGATAAAGGCAAGTATTCCATATGCCATCTCAACAACCTTATTCACCTGCCCTGCTGCCTTCAGTAATGTGATAATATCCAGACCAAAGTCCCTTAAGTTTCAAAACTTTCCAAGGTCCTACCAGTCAGAGTAATCTATTCCCTTGTTAGTCCTCCTAAAGTGTATTGCCTCCTATTTTTCCTGATAGAATTCCATTTGCCACTGCTCTGCCCAGCTGACCTGTCAATATCCCCCTAAAAAGTTTGCTGCTATCTTCCTCCTTATTTACAACCTTAACTTTTGTGTCATCCACAAACTTCTTGATCATACATGGTACACTTCAATCTACATCAGAAATATTGAATACAGGAGGAGCAGGCCATTTAGCCCTTCAAGCCTGTTCTGCCATTCAATATGATAATACTGATTTATCCAACTTAGTATCCTGTTCCTGCTTTCTCCCTCGATCCTTTGATTTCTTCAGCCACAAGAAATATATCTGCCTCCTTCTTAAGAACATTTTGAGGCAGATATGTACAAGACAAATAGCAAGGGCCCCAGAACTAAGTCCTGCAGAACCCAAGTGAAAACAGATTGAGGCATAGGAATGTCTCTCAGTCATCACCCTGTTTCCTGCCTTTCAGCCTATTTTGGATCAGTTTGCCATGAAGGAACTTATCAAAAGCCTTGCTAAAGTCCATGTAGACCATACCAAATGCACTACCTTCAGCAAGACTTCTGGTCCACAAACTACCCTCTACAAATCCATGCTGACGATCCCCGATTAATCCGTATTTCTTCAAGTACCAATATATTTTGTCCCTTTGACTTTTTTCAAATAACCTCCGCACCAAGATTACTGACTAGTATGTAATTTCCGGTCAATTCCTTCCTCCAATTTTTAATAATGAGACAATGTAACAGCTCTCCAGTTCTCTGGCTCCTCAACTGTGGACAGAGAGGATTTGAAAATTACTGCCAGGACCCCCATATACCCCTGGTCTCTGAACCATCAGGGATACATCCATTTACTTTCACTGCAACTATTCCTGTTGCAGCACAGATCTCTGAAGTCCATGTGCAGTAGTGGGTTCTGGAATCAGAAGTCAATGCACTGGCATGCCAGTCGGTGGGCGCAGGAGCTCCAAGTGGCTGCATATTGCACAGCTTAGAGAAAAAGCTGCCTTTCAGTATGGCCTGCAGATTTAACCACTTTTTAGGCTGCTAAATCCGATAATACTTTCTTCCTCTTTGAGTATTAATTTCTTTCAATATTTCATGGTCAAACACCCTGATATCTATACTCATGTTATTCTTTTCTATTATGAAGACTAATGTAAAATATTCATGGACTCAGCTCACATCTTCTGGGTCCACACACTGATTACCTCCATGGTCCCTTATCTTTCCTTAGTTATTTTTAGTTTTTATATATTTTAAAAACCTTTGGGGTTTTCCTTTATTCTGCCTGCCAATGCTTCTCCTTTGATTTCTCAATTTCCTTGAAGTTCACCCCTGCCCTCTCCATACTTCCCAAAGAATTCTGACATATTGAGCCATTGGCTTCTCTTTTTTTTCTTAATCTTATACCTCACATCCCATGACAGCCAGCACTCTCTGAACTTTATGGGAACACAGTCGCTCTGTACCCTCACTATTTCCTCTTTAAATGCCTCCCACTGCCCTGACACAATTCTAACTGCAAATAGCTACTCCCAGGCCATTTGGACTAAATACATCTTAGCGAAATTAGCCTTTCTCCAGGTTAGGGATAACAAGGTGTACAGCTGGATGAACACAGCAGGCCAAGCAGCATCAGAGGAGCAGGAAAGCTGACGTTTCGGGCCTAGACCCTTCTTCAGAAATGGGGGAGGGGAAGCAGGTTCTGAAATAAATAGGGAGAGAGGGGGAGGCAGATAGAAGATGGATAGAGAAGAAGATAGGTGGAGAGGAGACAGACAGGTCAAAGAGGCGGGGATGGAGCCAGTAAAAGGTGAGTGTAGGTGAGGAGTTAGGGAAGGGACAGATCAGTCCAGGGAGGATGGACAGGTCAAGGAGGTGGGATGAGGCTAGTAGGTAGGAGATGGAGGTGGGGCTGAGGTGGGAGGAGGCGATAGGTGGGAGGAAGGGACAAGCTGGGTTGGTTTTGGGATGCGGTAGGGGGAGGTGAGATTTTGAAGCTTGTGAAGTCCACATCGATACCATTGGGCTGCAGGGTTCCCAAGCGAAATATGAGGTGCTGTTCCTGCAACCTTCGGGTGGCATCATTGTGGCACTGCAGGAGGCCTAGGATGGACATGTTGTCTGAGGAATGGGAGGGGGAGTTGAAATGATTCGTGACTGGGAGGTGCAGTTGTTTAGTGCGAACCGAGCGTAGGTGATCCGCAAAGCGGTCCCTGAGCCTCCGCTTGGTTTCCCCGATGTAGAGGAGGCCACAACGGGTACAGCGGATGCAGTATACCACATTAGCAGATGTGCAGGTGAACATCTGCTTGATGTGGAAAGTCTTCTTCAGGCCTGGGATGGGGGTGAGGGAGGTGGTGTGGGGGCAGGTGTAGCACTTGCTGCGGTTGCAGGGAAAAGTGCCGGGTGTGGTGGGGCTGGAGGGGAGTGTGGAGCGGACAAGGGAGTCACGGCGAGAGAGTGGTCCCTCCGGAAAGCAGATTAGGGTGGGGAGGGAAAAATGTCTTTGGTGGTGGGGTCGGATTGCAGATGGCGGAAGTGTCGGAGGATGATGCGTTGGATCCGGAGGTTGGTGGGGTGGTACATGGGGACGAGGGGCATTCTTTATGTTGAGTCCAACTCAGGACTCCCACCATTTCATACGTGTCTCTGCAAGGGTCCTCACCTTGCCCATTCCTGAGTGATGCCTGTTGTCTGTCACAGGGTCCTCACCTCCCCCAATGCTTCCTGTTCTCTCAGGTAATGGGAAGTTTTTCTTTGTATACGTGCTCTAAACTGGTCATAACATCATATACCTTCGTCAAATTTTCTTTCAATCCCTTTTGCTCCACAGAGAACAACGCCAGTTATTCCAACCTAATCTTGTAAAATCTCATCCCTGGAACCATTCAGGTATCTCTCCTCTCAGCCCCTTAAGAATTTCCACATCTTTTCTATACTGTAATGACCACAGCTGGACACAATATTTTAGTTGAAGGGAAACCAGATTTTCATAATAGGTTCAGCAAAACTTCCCTGCTTTTTTATTCATTATCTCTTTTAAGAAGCCCAAGGACTCATTTGTTTTGCTAACCTTTAAGTATGTCCTGCTACCTTCAAAGATCTATGCATATGCACTCCTGAGGTTCCTCGGTTTGTGCAGTTTTTTTTCACAATTGCATCATTAAGTCCATATTGACTTTCCCCAAATTGTATCTCATCACATGTCCCTGTATTAACCTCCACCCGTCATCTGCTACTCGTCTAGCCTAAATCCCAGTGCAGGCAAATCTTTCCATGCCCACTGTTTGACACTCCTCCAAGGCAGGTATCATTCAACATGTTTTGAAATTGTACTCAATAACCCAAAATTCAAATAATTTATATATGGCAGTGATCCTACCTCTGACTTTCAGAGAACACCATTCTCTACTACCATCAAATTCAATTCAAACAGAATCCAATTGCACACTGCCCCTAATATTCAATAAAGAACAATTCTGTTAACTAACTTTATATGTCATACCTTATAAATACTTCCTTAAAATTAACAGAGACAACATCCACTGCATTCCCTTAAAATTGGTTAACACTTGATACTTCTTCAAAAAAATTAAAGCAGCTTAGTCAAGCACAATCTGCACGTTACAAAACTGTGCTGACTTTTCTTAATTAACTCAAACCTCTCCAAATGCTTCTTTTAGTTCGCTGATTAAGCATTCCAAGACCTTGGCCTTCAATTATGTTAGCCGAACTGATCTGTAATCTGAGACTGTCCTTACATTCTGTTTTGAATAAGGGTGCAACACTGGCCATCTCCAATCCTCTGGCAACTCTCATATCTGGGCATGCTCAACAAATTAAAGTAAACCCTTCCTCTCTATCTCCACCCACTTCCATTATCAACCTTGTATGCAACCCTTCTGAATTAGATGACTGATCTAACTTCACCATAGTCAACCTGATGATGCATTCTGGCCTTGCCCTGTATCTCTTAGTATATATCATTCTCTTTGCCATTAATAGGACACACTCCACTACTTGGTTCCTGCCTACTTACAAGTTGGCAGTAGATTTTGGGTCCCTTTTACGCATTGGCCTAGATGTCTTTAAAATTTAAGTTACCAGACTGCCTACAACAGCCATGAAACTGGATCCTGAAAATTCAGGAATAGAGGGAATTCAGAAAAAGGGACAGAGTTCATTTCGCAAAAAATATTTATTTATAATATCTCACTTTGACAATCATGATGAGGTAGTCTTATCTAGATTGGACAATGTGAAAGAATCTAATAAATGCAATGACGTACCAGAAAATTAAGCATGAACTACAATCTGAATTCTTATCATGAAAATTAAGTCTTTCTCTGGTCTGGTTCTGCAATCATAACTTAGCGGGGGAAAAACAAGAATGATAAAATGACACTTTGTATGCAGACTCACCAGTGTAAGTTAAATAAATAACACTCAGAAATACAACTCCAGCAGCAAGAGACACCCCCAAGAAAAAGAGTGTCTGGAACTCCTGCTTCGTCAGCCTGTCTCTCAGATACTGTAAGAAGGCATAAGCTTGCATCAGGGCAAATACACCTGAATGCAAGAGGAAGAGAAGTTAAAATGATTTGCATTCCTCAATTAACATGTACTCATTATCAAACTTTAAACAATAGGTCATTTGTCCAATATTTAGGTAAATCTAATCAAAAATATCAGAGATTTTCCTTTAAAAATTCTTGGCTAGCTGAAGCCACAAAACACTCTTGCTATTCATAAAGTCATCAGGATACAAAGTTTCATAGTGGGTACAGGATAATCACCCCTCATCTTAACTAGTAAAAACTTAAGAGTCACGTGGCAATGGAACTCTTCGGTAAAAGAGAGAGTGGAAGAGAGTATAACCGGGGTGGGTGGAGTCTTTGATTATGTTAGTTGCTTTCCCGATTCAGTGGGAAATATAGATGAAGTCAATGGATTGGAGGCTGGTTTCCGTGATGGACTGGGCTGTGTTCACAACTCTCCAAAATTTCTTTCGGTTGTGGGAACTGCAGGTGCCAAACCATGCTGTGATACATCCAGATAGAATGTTTTCTATGGCACATCTATAAAAATTTGTAAGTCTTTATGGACATGCCGAATTTCCTTAGCCTCTTGGAGGAAGTAGAAGTGTTGCTGTGCTTTCTTAACAGTAGTGCCAACACAGGTGGGCTGGGTCAGATTGTCGGTGATCGTCGCTACCCAGAACTTGACGGTCTCAACCATCTCCACATCAACACTGCTGATGCAGACAGGGGCATACTGTGCACTTCACTGAAATCAATGACCAGCTCCTTGATTTTGCTTACGCTGGTGGAGATTGTTGTCTTAATGTCATGCCTTTGAACACTATCTCCTTTCTGTAGTCCATTTTATCGTTGTTTGAGATTTGACCTACAATGATGGTGCCATCAACAGGCTTGTAAATGGAGTTGGTGCGGAATTTGGCTAGTCATGTGTGTATAAGGAGTATAGTAGGGGGCTGAGTATGCAGCCTTGTGGGGCACTGGTATTGAGGATTATTATGGAGGTGGTGCTGTCGCCTTTCCTTATTGACTGCAGTCTGTTGGTCAAGAAATCGAGAATCCAGTCACAGAGCAGAGAACAGAGACATCGGTCCCAAAGTTTGGAGATGAGTTTGTTTAGAATGGTGTTGAAGGCAGAGCTGTAGTCAACAAGTAGGAGTCTGAAATAGGTATCCTTGTTGTCCAGATGTTTATGGGATGAGTGTAGGGCCAGGGAAATGGCATCTGCCATGGACCTGTTGAAGCAGTAGGTGAATTCTAAGGGATCAAGGCAATCTGGAAGGCTGGAGTTGATGTGAGCCATGTTTAACCTCTCAAAGCACTTCATAATGATAGATATCAGAGCCACTGGGCAGCAGTCATTGAGGCATGCTGCATGTTTTTTTTTTGGGATAATGGTGGTCTTCTTGAAGCAGGTGGGGACTTCAGATCGTGGTAAGGAGAGGTTGAAGATGTCTGCAAATACTCCCAACAGCTGGTCTGCAGAGGATGAGTGCACAGTTGGAGACTCCAACTAGGCCAGTTACTTTGTGGGTTCACTCTTTAGGCTGAACTAACGCTTATGGTGGTGACCAAGGGTATAGGCGCATCTGAGGCTGATGGGACATGTGATATCACCACACTGCCCTTCTGTTCAAGGTGAGCATAGAACACTTTGAGTTCATCAGGTAGGGATGTACTGCTGTCCATGATTCTGTTCTACTCCGCTTTGTAGCCCATAATGTCGTGTAAGCCTTGCCAAGAATGACGGGTGTCCATATGGTTAGTCTGAGTCTCAAGCTTAATTTGGTATTGCCTTATGCCATCCCTAATAGCCTTCCAAAGGTTGTACCTGGATTTTCTGTATAGGTCATGGCTGCACAACTTGAACGCCTCAGACCTGGACTTCAGTACGGTGTCAATCTCCCAGCTCATCCACGGCTTCTGGTTGGGGAACGTTTGGATTAACTTCTTTGGCACACAGTCAACTGTGGACTTATAAATGAAGTCTGTAATGGTAGTGGCACACTCATTTAGGTTGGTCACTGAATTGTTTGAGGATGTTTGGACCTCTGGGGGGATTTGGTAGCACATTCTTGAAGTTGGCCTGGTTGAAGTCACTGGCAATGATGAACAAGGCTTCAGGCTTGAAGACAATTTCTAGCATTGTATACTTCACTCTTCACTTCTGCATGGCGTTGTAGACCGCTGTCAGGGTAGTGGAGATGAATTCGCACAGCAGGTAGTTTGGACAGAATGTCACCGTTAAATATTCTAGGTTCAGGGAGCAGTGACACATCAGGGTTGCCATATATGGGCACCAGGTGGTGTTGTTTAGGAGACAGACCCCACCACCCCTCGCATTGCCTGAGGACACCGAGTGGTCAGTTTGGTGAACTGAAAAGCCCTCAGGTTGTAAAGTACAGTCAGATGTAGCAGGGATGAACCATGTCGTTGTAAAACAGAAGACACAGCAGTCCCTCAATTCTCTTTGGAAGATGAGTCTAGCTTTAAGTTCATCTATTTTATTCTCAATGGCTTGAACGTTTGCCAGAAGTATGTGGGAGTGGCAGGGGACGGGGGCTCTAAACCTTTGAGTTTGAGTCTCATTTGAACTCCAGCTCGTCCATGTTTCCCGGGTTAATGGCTGATCCCGGATGAGTGAAGTCAGCTTCTCCTAGGGAAGAATCAGTGCACCTGATGGGGTCCTGAGCACCAGTTGTGGCCTTGAACGCTCTGGGGGAACTTGTGGTCTGTCTGGTTGATCTTGGCTGTCGGTGAATGAGGTCAGCTACTCCAGAAAGTAAGTAAGTGAGTGCATCTGATAGGTCCTGAGCATCAGTCGGATCTTTGAGTGTTCCAGAGGGTCTTACAATCAGTCTGGTTGGGGCACCTCGATGTCGGATCACTGCAGTGTCAGGTTTTGTTCCCGTAGCAGTCAGGCCTCTGTTCTGGGTTTCCATGAGGTCGGGCCTGCCAGAAGGCCTTCAATCTCTCTGGGTTTGCAGTAGGCAACAACATAACAGATGGGAGTATAGTGTAGGCAGTTTTAGTTATTCATTTTGGTGTAAGAGGAGACAGGCAGAATAATTTTTATAAAGGGGTGGTGGTCAAAGAGACTTGGGTGTGCTCATACAAGAAACAATGCCATGAATCTGTAAGATAAATGAAATGTTGCCTTTATTGCATGGGGATGCGAGTACAAGGAGGAGGAAGTCCTGTTACAGGACACAGTATTAGTCCTTGCTGTATTGAACGAGTTCCAGTTTGCTAACTTAAGAATAGCTACGACAAAATGTTCTTGCACATATCAATTTTCAAGTGTATCACTGCAGTCAAACATTACAGGGTTGTGGTGAGACCATACTGGACTACTGTGCAATTTAGGTTTCTGTTTAAAGGAACGATAGACATGCATTGGAGATAATGCACTGAAAGTTCATTAGATAGGTCCCTTCAATGAGAAGGCTGCCCTATTATGAGAGTTTGAGTAAATTGGACCCAATTCCCCAGAGTTTATAAGAAAGAGAGGTGATCTGATCGGAGCATAAAATATTCTGAAGGGGCTTGACAGGGTACACACAGGTTTTCTCCACTGGTTGGGAATCTAGAACACAAGTGTATACAGTCAGAGGAAAAGGGTCAATCATTTAGGACTGAGATAAGGAGAATTTTTTCTACTCAAAAAAAGTTATGAATCTTTAGGAGTTCTCTACCTCTTGTTCAAGCACACACCCAAATTTCTCTGAATATCAACGCATCTTATAAAAAATATGCTGCTTTTATATTCTTATGATCAAAGTGAATACCCTCACCTCCCCCAGGTGGATATTATTAACTACATTGAAGGCTGTAGAAAACCCAAATAATATGCTGTGCAGACAAAAAAAGTGCTGTTGAGGACCAATTTCAGGTATGACTGTACTGAATGACACAACTGGCTCGATAGTCATATGGTTTACTTCTGCTTGTGTTTTATGAGCAAGTGTATCTTAAATAATTATCTGTCCTGAAAGAATTTGGAGAGTTTATGTTTTAGATTAAAACCTTGTGATCCTTTCAGATCCACTCAGATTTTGAGTTGTTGTGCCTATTATACATCACCAAGGTGAAACACCGAATAGCCAGAGATTACAGCAATACCTAAACAATTTAATATAATTTTCACAGTACAGTGCATTAACAGTCTCAAAATCACATCAGGCTGCCTACAAGTTGTGTCAGAACTAAAGGTGAATTCTTTGCTTAGTTCTGACTCCACCACAAAAGCACATTTATGATGCCGATTTAAAAAAAAAGCACGCTTGACATCATGAGACTGGGTATACAACGTTCCTTTCTTATACCAACTGCTTTTCTGAAGAAACACAGAAATTAATATTAAGTGCTGGAAGAAACGAACCAAGTGAGCTTGAGGATAATGATTCCTGAATTAATAAAACTTCCAATATTCATCTATCAGACTTGTACAACTTACACTCAGGATAGCAGAATCCAGAGTTAAAGACATTCCATATTTAAAAATCAAGCCACTCACCTGCTGCTGCCATGTGTTCACTGGTTCGAATTGGTTGAAACCCCACAAATGGTACTTGCATTGATAATATTAAGCCCACGATGTAGAAGGTGCTGTAAGCTGTATTAAAAATGAACAATGTTAAAAAAAAAAACTATCATTGCTCTAAATTCAACACAAGCAAAAACGTGCTTCCAATCGGATACGTTTTATGAACAAGGTTATGTATTCAAACTCCAGAAAATCCTCCAAAATAGTGGCACATACAGACTCATCACTAAAATAAAACCTGAAATTAAAAATTATAAGACGTACATTTAGCTTCTGTTACAAAGATTTTTGGAGATGATGGATATGGTGTGTGATATTTTGGAGGAGTTTTGAAGTGGAAAAAAATGCTTTTGTTTCAAGTTTTGTGGAATCTTTCTATGGAAAGTTGGAATTTTTTTTAAGTCAATGAAAAACACATCGAACTTTTTTTTTCCAAATGCACTTCTGGAAAACCACATAACTTTAGCTATTGCTTGTACTCACATCTTAGAAACTACTTGCCTTGGTTTCATGGCTGTCTTGTTTGGATACTGTTTTATTGATGAAAAGGTAATCTCTGCAGAAAGAAACCTTTTTTCCCATTTACCTGGTGCAAGTGTGTTTTAGGTTGTTTAGAAGGGTGCATGTTTATGTTCTAATATTGCAAACTGTGAAGTTAACTATCTTAGCATCTTCATTGAATAGGTTTTATTTTATAACGAAGCAATAATTGTGCTTCTCTAAGGAACCTGGTTCATGGGTATTATCAACTCTAAATCTAACATAGAAATCACATTGGGAACAATTTAAAAATCAAACATAATGGGCAAAGCAATTTAATTTATGTTGTGATCTGTGGAGTGGTAAAACTAGGGAAAGACTGCGTACTCCTACATCGCAGCTGTACCACTTCCCAGACATTTTTTACAAGTAAATTTAAAATATCATGGTATCATAGAATACGAAACCTTTTGTTTTAAACAAGTATGAAGACATATGGTGGTTAGGATTATAACTAGTCTTTCTCAATTTAGCTGCAAATGATTGTTTAAAAATTCAGACAACAGTACAAAACACTTTGTACAGAAATTAGAGCCATCTTTCTTGTGGCAAATAGAAGATAAATTGCTATATTTCTTCTGATACCATCCTATCTATCTATCATATATTTGAAAGGCAGGAATTCTTGGATGCTGCTTTGAACTATTCTTTTTATATAGTTGTGAGGGTGATCCACCTTCATTAAAAGAAAACAGAAGATTGATTCAGTCAGCAGCAAACTGTTTTAAATGTGTTAATGTTGACAGATCAAGGTCAATTAAAAAGCAGAGCCTTTGTTTTTCATGTTGTTGAAATGTTACAGATTTCATTAGCAAATTGAATTTGTGATCAAAGACGTCAAACAGAGGCTCTCTTTGGTCTTCTCAGTTGGATGCAGGAAATCGTATTGCACTGAAAATACAGATGAGCCTCTTGACATTCTGATGTTTAAACAAACACCACCAAAATGGTACCTGATAATTCACTTCATTGCTCTTTGCAGGAGCCTTCTGCATACAGAATGGTTTCTGTTGTCAATCTACAATTGCAGCTGCTCATCAGAGGGACTATACTGGCTATAAAGCAATTTTAACACATCATGAGGAGCAACATCGTGGCTCAGTGGTTAGCGCTGCTGCCTCACAACACCAGGGACCCAGGTTCGATTCCACCCTTGACTGTGTGGAGTTTGTACATTTTCCCCATGTCTGCATGGGTTTCCTCCGGGTGCTCCAGTACCCACCCACAGTTCAAAGATTTGCAGGTTGTGTGTTGGCCATGCTAAATTGCCCATAATGTGCAGGCTAGGTGGATTAGCCATGGGAAATTCAGGGCAACAGGGTGGGGTTGGGGGTGCTCTTTGGAGGGAGAACGTGAACTTGATCAGCCAAATAGCCTGCTTCCAGACTGTAGGGAATCTATGATTCTATGATGAGTACATGACAGGAAAGATACAAGCACAGCTTAATTCCTTTTTCCATTATTATTCTGCGAAATGACACTGTTATTTTAGTAAAACAAAAGAACTGCAGACACTCGAGATCTGAAGCAAGTGAAAACAAACTGCTGGAGAAACTCAGCAGTCTGCCAGCATCTGTGAAGAGAATACACAATTAACGTTTGATGTGGCAAAGTATGGGTACATCATGAATTAATTTAAGTTGCAAGTGCTATTGACATGAGACCATTTTTAAAGGTAATCATATTTGTAGATTTTTTGAATAAATACTATTACAGTAAAATCATGACAAGTTGAATTGCATGGTGCCCACCCACAAATTCAAGAAAGCCATAGAAATGGCTTTGTTATCAGATTTGTCTACAAGTTAAAACATGGTAACGCAGTAAATGCTGGAAAAGGTCTTTATTTTTCAATTTGCTCAGACCTACAATGTTAGTTAGTTCACTTTGATTGTAAAACTGTGTGCAGAGATTATGCATAAAGTGGGATCAGAACGGTCACACTTCATGTTTCCCAAAATAAAGGAATAGGGAACAATAGAAGAACACTGGCCAATGTGTACTGGATCATACTAAATGCTTCAGGAACATGACATGAAGCAGGTTGGTGATGCTGCAAGACAATTTTGCAAAACAAAACTTTAGTTCAAGGAGAATGAGAGGTCAACAGTCTTACATAGTCACAAAAGCCCTGGGACAAGTGAAATGCCCTGAACATTCTCAAACACAATCACATTAGATAGAAGCTCTGGAAAATTGGGCTCGTTTTCAAAAAATTAACACTTTGAAAGATTGCACCAACAGGAGTTCTAGGTTTTGAATCTTTGTTTCACATGTAATTCACTGCACCTTCTAATAAATTAAATCTATTTCTAGATCAAACAGGCTCTTATGAGGCCAACTGTGGCCCCCTTCAGGGAAATTAGTTCATTTCCTCTAGCTTTAAAGAAAATAATTCCCTTACTTTAATTTGTACCACATAGGTCTCCAACAAGCTTCCAATAAAATAAGTCTGAGCCCTGTACCATTTCTGTATTCCAAAGGATTTCCCAGGCCCTTCACAGAACAGACATGGCCAGCTTTGGATTTCATATAAATGGAAGTGGTTTCGAACAGTATGGATTATCCGACATGCAAAAAAGGATATTAAATTGTTAACACTGTCATTGCGCAATGAAAGCATGATATATTGCCCCATGGGAGAAAGCAGAATACCAATTCCCTCCACTCTGCTTATTTCCTGTTCTACGTTACCTGTGGTGGTAATGCTTGAAAAAGTTAAGTGGAGAAAAATGAAAGTGGCAGGGGCCAGGGAGCTAACTATCCACTTTGCAAGCAATAAACCAGTGGGATTAAAAAGTATAAATGGTTCATGCAGGGAGTGCCCAAAGCATTCCATAACTGTAAGGAGACACCCTACAGATGGTAGCATGCAGGTTAAGTGTCATATGCCTGAGTTCTTAAACTTAGCATTCCTGCAAGGAGCAATCAAACTGTGGGCTGGTTAGTTTTAAATATGCTTTAATATTAATAATATTTTAAGCCAAAATTTTGTATCGGTCTTCAGGATGGAGAACACTATAAACATCGCGAAGATATCACATAAGCAAAATGCTAAAGGAAAAGAAGATCTTGTCACAACCTCTGTCAAAAGATAGAAGTATTTAACAAATTAATGGGACAGGAGGCAGATGAGTCACCAGGACCTGATAGCCCGAATCCAAGGGTTTTAAAAGGAAGTGGCTCAGAAATCATGGAGGCATTGGTAAAAATATTCCAGAACTCTTAGGGTTCCAGCAGATTGCAAACCTGTCAAGAAGGGAGACAAAGCAGGAAACTACAGGCCAGTCAACCTAACCCCTTTTGGTGGGAAGATGCTAGAGTGCAGGACATTTGGAAAAGCTTAACAATCAACATCACTCTGTGAAAGGTAAATCACATTTGACAAATTTCCAAGAGTTCTTTGAGGATATAAACAAGCAGAGTTGATAAAGGAGAACTAGTAGATGTAGTGCATATGGGATTAATGGATCTTTTTCAAGTCACTAAGTTTCAAATGGTAGACAGACAGTCATATGGCCTTAATTATTTCAATTTACATTGATGATTTGGAGAAGGGACAGGGTGTAATATACGCAAATTTGCTGCTAATATGAAAATAGGTAGGATGGCATCTGTGGTGAGGACAAAGAATCTGCAAGGGGACATACATCAGTTGATTGAGTGAGCAGAAACTTGGCAAATAGAGTTTAATGTAGAAGTGTGCGGTCTTGGTTGGAAGGATCAAAAGGCAGACTATTATTTAAATGTCTGAGATTCTCTACCTCTGAAAATTGTGGAGGCTAGATCACAAAGTATTTAAAGAGGTAGGAGACAGATTTTTGAAATACTGAAATGTCCAATGGCACTAAGCAGGGGCTGAGGCCTGTGGTAGAACAGCTATGTACAATGTACATTGTACAATGGAGGTGCACGCTTGAGGGGCAGAATGGCCTACTTTTGCTCCAATTGCTTGTCATGTTCTTAATGAACTACTCTTAAATACTTTCTAATTGTGCCAAAGGGTAGAGCTAGGAAGTTCTGTGACAAAGAAAATACACTGCTCTGGCTGATCTTTTAACCTCGTCGGGCATTGGGCAGAGGCTCTTGAAGAAATCGTGCCACTATTATATTTTATGTAAAAAAGGTCCTTGCTTTAAAATATTAAAAAATTCAAAACAACACGATTGGACCAGAAGGCAATAGTTTCAAGGAGATCAAAGGCTGAAATGTTCATACAAAATGTGGGAAGTTTAGAGCGCCAATGTGCTTCAATCTTTGTTTATTCTAAACTCAGTCTGCACCAAATGTGGTGCAGTATTATGCCATATGGCACGGGCATTTTATTTGACAAATTTGTTTACACTTCAGTAAGGATATGTATCAGCTCAAAATGAATTGCGTGTTGTAATTAACTGAGGTGATTATTAAATTTGGCTCAAAGCAGATGAGAAAAATAGCAAATCATCCATAGAATCCCTACAGTGTGGAAATAGGCCTTTCGGCCCAACAAGTCCACACTGACTCCCAGAGCATCCTGCCCAGACCCATTTCTCAAATCCACCTCATCCACAACTCCCTGAACAGTATGGGCAATTTAGCATGGCCAATCCACCTAGCCTGCACATCTTTGGACTGTGGGAGGAAACCGGAGCACCCGGAGGAAACCCACGCAGACACAGGGAAAACATGCAAACTCCACACAGTCGCCCAAGGGGGAATGGAACCGAACCCAGGCCCCTGGTGCCATGAGGCAGCATGCTAACCACTGAGCCACCATGCCACCCTCAATTACATGTTTATATCAAGGTAGAGGTCATTTGAAAAAAAGTGGCAAGTACTGAAAATCTGTACTTTCAACTCAGCTTTTATAAAACTCCATTTTCTATTACTATTGCACGGTATCATTTGGCAAAATAATCACTTGCCATGGAATAAATTATTGGACTTGTTTCCCAAAGCAGACTTATCATACAAGTTCTTGTTCATTAGATTTGAACCATTTTTGGGAACCCTCAGGACTTAAATCATGACACTCAAATCACTTGCCACTGTACTCAAGACACATGCATTCTCTGCTCAAACTGCAGATTTGTCAACCTCAATATTTTTGTCTGCAACTCCTGTCTTATTATCCACCGTTATATAAGCTGTTTTTACTTAGTTCCAGGTTGAAATACTCATTACATCCAATCTCATACATAAATATCATTTGAACTGTTATCCAGTTACTTTTTTAATTTTACACGGCATTTATTTTTGGACACACTTTGAACTCATTGCTACATGGGAATTTAAAAATTAGTGAAACATTCCTTTTATAAAAATGTGAGATTCCCTAACTAGTGCACCATCCGAATGTTATGCATGCATACAATGTCAATGTTTGCAATGCCATCTTCAGGCAAATCAGAATAAAAACAATTCCTTCCAGAGACAATGTTAAAATGTCAATTAACGAACTAAATGTTAAAAATGTTCAACAATGAGTAGACAGTCGGGTTGACATAGGATTTGATGAACAATTTCTTCAAGCTTTGGTTTTCTGATAAGAGAGCTTTTTCTTCAAAACAGCTGTTTGCCAATTTGCCATGAATCTGTAAACAATGCAGTCAAGGGAACTAGCAGGCAGCATTTGGCACTAGTTTTTCTACTGATACAAGTTTTGCTGGGGTGTCTGTCAGATATTGTGTGGGCAACATAGAATAAACTACGTAAGTTAATCAAATTTCCTTCAAATTAACACCTGAAAAGAATTCATGTCAGTCATAATTTTCAAGAGGTCAATTTCATTTTAGCTTGACGTGTACTGTTATTTGCTTGGAATGAGACAACACGGCTAGGTATTATACTTGAGTTTCAATGCCCTTGGAAATGCCACAAGAAATCAAGTGTGGCTGTTGAGAATTGGGGAACCCCTTAAACTAGTGATAACTCAGCATTCCATATTTGGTATTTCTTGCATAACATGCTGCCTCATCTAACTGTTACACTAGTAACTAGCCTTTTGCAAACATAAACACATCTCTATAATGAAAACAGTGAAGTAGTCATAAGAATTATCAAGGTTCTGACTCACGTCAAAGATCTATCAGGCACCATCCTACCCTATTATCAATGTAGTGTACTGGAAATAGAAGGGTTTTTTGGTTCCAGAATGAGTGAAAACTAACCTTCCTTTGGCAGTGGGTAAATGGGTCAACAGTCATCTGACTCAGGAGTAGCTGTTCCATGGCTGTTGGCCGAGAGGGGTTAGACAAGTGACTGGCATTGCATTTATGGCCAGCCACCACAGACCATCACAAAAGGATGTAAGACTAGTGGGAGTGGGAGTGCTCTGCGCCTACTCCTCCATTCTACAGATCGGCTCCAGGAATGAACAAACATTCTCATCTGTCACGGGTCATATATTTCCTTTCTTTGCCTAATCAAATAACGTACTACATCAAAACCACTGCTTCTCAATAAACCAGCAGAAAATTACAAAAAATTGTTGGTTGCCTCTATTAGGTAACCGTGATTATGAACAACCTAAAATCAATATGGTCAACAAAGCATAATTATTAAGTATACAATTAATCCAACTGTCCAAGGCCTAAACAGAGGTATAAGTGCACAAGACAGTTTTTTTGGAACAGAATCATCATGATGAGTTTACTGACCTATATAGATCCTTCTGCTGAACCTCTGCATCAGTAGCAATACAAACACATGCAGTGGAATAAGGTTGATAATAAACACGTAACCACCCCATGCAGACACCTGAAAATCAACGTGCAAAAATAATTAAACCTAAACTTCAAGTTAGATACAAGTAAAACTACAGTGCATGAAAAAAAAATCATTCCCATGATCTACAAGACCTGTACTGAAGCTATGAAGATTTCACAGTAGATTAACCAAGAATAACATATAGCTGTCCCAGTTCATTTAATTATTTCATCACTGGCTTAGTGCTGTCAGTATTTATCTTGCAGGTTTGGGGACGAGTTTTGTCATTTCTCAAACTGAGCAGTAGACAGAACTCCGAAGTTCAGCAAAAATTCTTAGACTTGAGTAATAAATGGATAACTCTTATCCTTCTGTATCACGTCATTTGAAGGAATATGTAAACAATACCATTCAAGCTGGACGTAAAATGGAGGTCAGTTAGCTTAGTTGACTGAACAGTAAGTTTTGAATGCAGAATGATGCTAACAGGACAGGTTTCTTGCTCTAGAGACGATGGAGATTTTCATTTCACATTCTAAAATGTGGATGCAATTTAATTTATTAATGCATTCATAAAGACTGACACCACCTCATTAAATGGAGTAGTCTAATGAGTCACTATTCAACGTCCTTCCTTGGTTGTGCTATCTTGAAGGAAGATTGAACAAAAATGAACCTTCTAAATCTTGAAATATATTTACATAACAAGAGACAAATAAAAAATCAATTATGTCAAACTTGTGCTTTCTTGGTTAATATTTATAAAAATTTATAATTGTATGTGTGAACTATTTTGATTGGTCAGTTTAGGGATGTTTCTGATGTAGTTATTTATTGGGCAGTGCCTAGTGCATATGCAGTAAATAGAGACTTCAAGCATGTTGCGCACATGCAGCTACCAACAGTTGGTGGTAAAGCAAGATGGGAGCAGTGATTTTGAGGAGAATGTAAACAGCTTAAGCCAAGGAGAGACCAACATTACCCTAGCTAGAGATTGTTTCAATGAGGGATCAGATTGACAGAAGGGAGGTGATGAAATTATGGATTTTAAGTTGGCAAAATGGAAGGGACAGTCCTACTCAGTAGTATAATTCTAACAGACATGCCTCTGCATAAAGACTCAAGGAAGTTACAAATATAATGTTACTATCAAACTTGAATCCTAAGCAATGATTGTTAGTTGGAAATCTGTTTTCTTTGATGACAAATGTTGAAATTATTAGATAGATTTCAAGGAAATAGAGCATTAATTTCTCAAATAATACAGAGCTTATCAGATATAAATTTGCCTTTTCAACTCGGAAGAAAATAGTTCCTAATTAGATGTTTAATACGGGTGCAGACAGTCACAAGACCAGACTCTACACAACATTGGTATTTATTACCTATGTTCTATTTTTACACATGCAGTTTATGTGGCTTTTTGCAGAGCAAATCTTTGAAAGAATAACAAGAAATGTTGAACTTAAAGAAGTACTGTTGCAACAAAGATACAAATTTGACCACAAACTTTTTGTAGGCCTCCACTAGTTGAAACATAGTTTTGGCCTTACAGAGTGCAATCAGTAAATGAAACTTGGAAAGGAAAAGATTAAAACCTAAGGAATGCTTACAAAGTATAACATTATTAGGTGCATTCCTTAGTTCTCCATGAAATTTTGTTTAGATATCTGTGTGTAATACAGGTAGCTGAGGGAGATATCCAGGTCAATGTGTCCATGGAGAGAAAGGAAAGTGTTTTTGGTAATTATCAAAAGTTGCTACATTTGCACACAATAATAGTGTATTTTGAGGCAAGGATGCTTATATCTTCTTAAATCACCTTTCAGGTCTAATGATTAGGTTTGACCAAACGTACCATAAAATCAAAATACTCAAGGGGCAGGGCACCAACTAGAATGTATTTAGTAAATGTGGGTGAGTCTGGGATTCACAGAGATTCGAAGTTCAACAATGCAATCAGGTTGCTGCATCACCCCTTGAATCTCTGCAGATTAAATTTATTTTTAACAAAGATAGAAGCGCTCTGGGGAAAGGGAAAAGCAGAATGCAGACTGAATACTAGAAAGATTCATTCATTCATTTAAACAATAGAAGTGTAACATATTGAATTATTTTTAGCTTTGATAAAATTCTGTGGAACTGAACCGAGTTCACCGTGTCTCACCATATAGAAGTAGGACAAGCAGCAACATATTGTCCAGAAAACTGAGCCAGTTTTTACAGATTTGACCTGTTGTGAAAAATGCACAAGATACAATTATTAAGAACATCAATTTGAAGTTAAATCTATCATAGATCTTCTCCAACACCTGCAATAAAATTGCTGCACTTTTCAATATTAGAAGGCAACACATACTAGATACATTTTAAATTTGGTTCAAAGCTAGACTTTGAAGGATTCAAGCATACAAACCCATTAATCCAGAATTTATACAAAAAAGTTGCATTATTTATATTACTGAGATGTACATTAGTGGATAACGATCAGATAGTGTCCAGAAAGAGAAAGACTACTACTATTTCTGCTGTTGAATAGTTATCCTGTTATAAGGTTCTGCAATGACATTACCCTTCTATCTATGAAGGACGTTCCACTTCTGTTTGATATGCTGTGGAGGTGCTGGGGTGGGGGTGGGGCAGGGAGGACGACGACAACGATGGGGGGAGAGCGCTTCAAAATTACAATGAAAATGTAAGCTTTCATAGCTGCTGAGTACAAAGTGTGGGTAACAGGATCTTCTGATTCTGCAATCTGAGGTATACAAGGATGGAACATTAAAGTAGCTCATTTTTAATATTAAGTCACTGTGTAAGCTCACCATAAAATATATTTATTTAATCACCTAAAGGCAGTAGAATCAGATAGGCAGTAGTGTGCTAAAACATGTCATTCACTTTAAAAGAAAATCTTCCATATTGAAGATCAACACTAACTCAACTTCATAAAAATGCAGGCCCTGTGCAAGTGCAGTATTTAGACGTTCATATATATCAGCTTTTGTCTCAAAGGAAAAAATAACTTTCATACTGGGGGCAACTGCTTGATGATGTCTTGTCCCCCTCTTAGATATTCAAGTTCACAACAGACTCCTCTCCTTCAATATTAAGAACTGAATTTCAGTGTTTCCTCCAAATCATGTCATACGCAAATTGCAAGTTAGTTTGACTTTCCAAAAACCCAAATGTCAAATGTTCCTGAAGAATATCTTCCTTTAACTAGCCAGTAAGGAGAAAGCATCAACTGATCCCTGCAATTGAGTTTTTTCCTTTTTATCTGTATTTTGAAATGATTTATTATTGTCACATGTTCCTAGGTACAGTAAAATGTTTTGTTTTGTGTGCAGTAAAGGCAGATCATATATACAAAGATGATAGGGTGATTGAACAGAGTGAGGAAAACAAAGTTACCCCTGCAAAGAAGGTGCACAAAAAGCAAGATCAACATTAGATTTGAAATTTGAGGTCCATTCAGAAGTCTAACAACAGCGGGGAAGAAGTTGCTCTTGAACCTGTGGCTACACGTAATTAAGCTTGTGTATCTTATACCTAATAGAAGAGATTATAACCGGGGGAGGGGTTTTGACGATGCTGGCCTTCCGAGGCAGCGAGAAGTGTAGGTGGAGTCAAGGTTGGCTCGCATGATAGGCTGGGCTGTGTTCACAACTCTCTGTAGTTTCTTACAGTCGTGGGAAGAGCATTGCCACACCAAGCCATGATGCATTCAGATAGAATGCTGTGATACATCTATAAAATTGGTGAGAGTCCTTGCATGCCGAATTTCCTTAGAGTCCCGAGGATGATGATGAGTTGTTATGCCTTCTTGGCCATCACATCAACGTGGGTGGTCCAGGACAGATTGTTGGTGATCGTCACTCCAAAAAACTTGACTCTCAACCATCTCCACCTCAGCTCCATTGATGTAGATAGGGACGTGCCCTCCTCCTTGTTTCCTGAAGTCAAGGATCAGGTCTTCAGTTTTGCTGACATTGATGGAGAAATTGTTATTTTTACACCATCCAACCAAGCACACACTCTCTTTCCTGTATTCTGTCTCATCATTGTTTGATATCTGGCCTACATCAGCGGTGTCATCAACGATCTTGTAAATAGAGATAAATTTGGCCACATAGTCATGAGTGTACACGGAGTACAGTAAGGGGCATTTTCAATCCCATGCAAGTTATATTAAAAAAAAATCAGGCAAGGCTATCTGAAAAAGTGTAAAGTTTCAACTAATAAAACAGTTAAAAGTTAAGGAAATTGCAAAACATATATCAAAGAGATAACAAATTTAACTGTTCAAATTTACTTTCTTGAAAAGAGGACAGTAAAACTGCTGTAACAATTATTAATGTGCATATGGTGAGGCAAAGTGCTATTTAGAGGGCCAAGTTTTGGATTCCCAACGAAGGATGGAAACTAAGGAGTGATATAATGGCTTAGACAAAAGAAAAAAGTGAATGTGGAGACAGAACATTAATGATGGCAACAAATGACAAATAACCTCTCACCATAAAGTGGCATTAGACATTAAAATCCCAATCACTGGCACTTCTGCCACAGCTCATGGCTCCTATCCACAAGGATGCTCCTTCAGAGATAGTAGGAACTACAGATGCTGGAGAATCTGAGATAACAAGGTGTAGAGCTGGATGAACACAGCAGGCCAAGCAGCATTTCAGGAGCAGGAAAGCTGACTTTTCGGGCCTAGACCCTTCTTCAGAAATGGGGGAGGGGAAGGGGGTTCTGAAATAAATAGGGAGAGAGGGGGAGGCGGATAGAAGATGGATAGAGAAAAAGATAGGTGGAGAGGAGACAGACAGGTCGAAGAGGCGGGGATGGAGCCAGTAAACGTGAGTGTAGGTGGGGAATTAGGGAGGGGATAGGTCAGTCCAGCGAGGACGGACAGGTCAAGGGGGCAGGATGAGGCTTGAGGTGTGAGGAGGGGATAGGTGGGAGGAAGGACAGGTTAGGGAGGCAGGGACAAGCTGGGCTGGTTTTGGGATGCGGTAGCAGGAGGGGAGATTTTGAAGCTTGTGAAGTCCACATTGATACCGTTGGGCTGCAGGGTTCCCAAGCGGAATATGAGGTGATGTTCCTGCAACCTTTGGGTGGCATCGTTGTGGCACTGTAGGAGGCCCAGGATGGACATGGCATCTGAGGAATGGGAGGGGGAGTTGAAATGGTTCGCGACTGGGAGGTGCAGTTGTAGCTTTCATGGTAACAAGGATCTCATTTGATATGTGCCATGTTTTATGACTATTGTACCCTTCAGGAGGGTTTTTGGCCAGACATCCATAAAATTTTCGTATCAGATACTGCAGCCAAAAGATTTGCCCGCATGCCACGACAACGTTAAGTCTGAATGGTGTACCTTGAAACGTTGTGCAGGTAAAGAACTTTTCTAGATTTATCTTCCTCCCACCACACCCCCAATTCATGGGGATCCTAAAGACCTCTATTAACATGCCCCATTACCCCCATCTCCAAAACACAAAATCAACAGTGAAGCACCAGGACAGATGGCTCTTTCTTATGTGAAAGCCTTCAATTAGGAATCATCCTCAATGCCTCGAACTGGAACACAATTCTTTATGGCAACCGTGACATGAAGGTCAAAACAAAATACAACATTCAGATGTAGCTCTGTCCAGCTGTTATCAATCCAGCATTTTTCTCTGGCTTTCTTGGTTTCTTGCAACAATGAACAGCTCTAAACACCTGCCAACCAAAACCCCTAGATGCTTTTCCTGCTTAGCTGTATTATTATCTTTCAAGGTGTACACAACATTCTCCCTTCCTCAGATTTAAATGCATGACTTAGCTCTTTTCTTGAATTCCATTTGTACGGACCATCAAAAAAAATTTTAATGATTTCCTGATTTGTCTTTTTGCAATTTACTTAATAACTGATTTCATCCTTAACTTGAGGTGCTCCCCACTTCAGAGGGGCAAGAATGCAGATGGCTGCATGGTACTCAAAAAGAAAAAGTACCAGAAGAGTAAGAGGACAGTGCAAGATGGGGCCCAACAACTACAGCTCACTACTGACACAGTTTGAGCATGGAATGTGCAATCAGATAGCAAAAGAAGTTAACAAAGCTTGAGTAGGAAAAGGAAATTTGTTCTAACATAACTGATGCAATTGCCATTTAAGTTATTTTTTGACATTCCTGAACAACAGCTATAATCCACTTTAAAAAAAGGAAAATTTGGGTATCTGTCTCATTTTAAAGAAATACAATTTATACCTTTAACTGATCTACCAATGCAAATTTGTGAATCAATTCGACCAAAATGGCTCTTCCTCGAGTACAGAGACTGTGGAAGAAAAGATGAAACCCTGCATTTACTGATTCAATGAAAGAGTCACCCTATGCGGAATCTCAATCACCTAAGTTGACGCTTATTACAGAACTGAAGACTGGTGGTGACAGTCATTAATTTTGTAATGAATGTCAGATGACACCTTAGAAATTGCAGCTCAAATACTCGGTAATTGCTGAAGAATTCCAAGATCAGATACAACATAGAACATTACAGCGCAGTACAGGCCCTTCGGCCCTCGATGCTGCGTCGACCTGTGAAACCAATCTGAAGTCCATCTAACCTAAACTATTCCATTATCATCCATATATTTATCCAATGAATTTGTATTAGTCTTAATAGGATTCCAGAGACATTTAATTGGGAGTGGCAAATGTTTTGTACAATGTCCACTACAATTAGATTCTTCGATGGAATATTGTACAAGGCATATAACACTGGGTGAAGTCCTGCAGGATTCATCATTGGTATTGTTGGTGATGAGTGTTAAGTTGTGACTTGAGAAGCACCCAAATGTTAATAACACTAAACCAATCTCTACATAGTCTACCTTCTTTCCTCCCCTTTCTGGCAATACTACCAGTGTAGTTATATACTTTATTATCAGATATTGTTTCATGGTTTATATCCATGAAGTTCGCAAGAAATTCATTTTCATTCAACTTTTCGTCTATGCCACTGACACTGAAAAACTTCTTGTAGTAGTCTGATACAACAGAGTGGCTTGCCAGGCCATTTCAAAAGGGCAGTTCGGAATTAGCCATATTGCTATGAGCCATAAGTAGACCAAACCAGGCAGGAGCGATAGATTTCCTTCCCTGAAAGAAGAGTGATAAATAGTGAGGATTTTTTAAATTGTGAATTGTGCAAGGATTTTATAGAATTACTGAAGCATTGTGGTGCAAAAGCTCATTGTGACTGCTTTGTCTCTCCAAATAAATGTCATGACCTAGTGCCACCTTCTGGCCTATTTCTCATACCCTTGCACACTGGATAATTTAAATAGAAATAAGATCCTCTTGAATTCCTCCATGGAACACCACACTTCCAGGCAGTGCATTCCAAACCTAAACAACCATGAAAAAGTTTTTTTTCATACATCACATTTGCTTCTTTGAAAATCACGATACCTACACACACTCATTCTTGATCCTTTCTCCCCATATACTCTTTCCAGTCTTCGCATAATTTTGAAAACTTCTATCAGATCTCCTCTTAGTCTTCTTCTGTCCAAGAACAGTCTTAACATTGCCCATCTATCTCTGTAGGTGAAGTTTCTCAACCCTGGAACCAAATTTGCAAATCTCTTCTGCACTCCAATGCATTCCATTTTCTTGCAATGTGGCCCTCAGAACCTGTATACAATACTCCAGCTGAGGTCTAACCAATGTCATACAACTTCATCATCATCTCCTTGTTCTTGCCCTTTATGCCTGCATGATGAAAACCTAGGATACTGTATGCTTTATAAACTGTGTCTCCGCCTGTCTTGACACCCTCAATCTGTGCACTTATTTGTACGCAGGTCCCTCTGCTCCTGCACCCTCTTTAGAATCACACCCTTTATTTTATACAATCTGTCCATGGTCTTCTTACCATATGTGTCACCTCACAATTCTTCAACAAATGCAATGGGCTAGCAGTAAATATTACACAATTTGACAGGCAATACGGTTTACGGGCTCAAAATGTTTCACTCTTACAAAATGGGATTTGGTTTAGTTCTTGGATTCTGTTACTGCTGTAATTGCCAGTGATCCTACCTACTATTACTTGGCATGAATGACATACTGCTGTCCTCGGAGGGCTGCCTGAAGGGTTAAACTGGTAACAGTCTTCGAACCCATCTCGTGACAGCATGTTGACTTTGCTAGCCTTCAAAAATCAGGATCTGGTTGCCACTCTGTTTCTTGTGCACAGACTCCTTAGTGTTCACAGGAGGAATGAATAGTCATTAACATAGTTGTCCAGCAGTACCTCTAATTTGGCACATCTTTTGAAAACTCAAGTAGCCAGATTTTCCACATTCATTCTAAGTTGATTTGTGATCCAGATGGGGTTAGGAGCTTGCAATGATTGTTGAAATGGACAAAAATCTGAAAATTGTTAATACTCGACATTTAGCCAGTTTTGCTGTAGTACTTATTTTCACTCAATGTCGCTTCACCAGGATCACAATTAAAAAAATTAAATCCTGGACATTACACTTATGATACAAAAAAAAGTGCAGAAATAATTAGGACTGGATTTGTTAGCTATTTCTAAAATGCATCATTTACATTTAAGTGACAGAGTTCACTTCTCTCGAGAGTGCTTACATCCTCAAGAATCAGAAGTGTTCTTAACTACATTCAGCATTCGCAGCTATAAACATCAAAACCAAACTTAACTATAACAAGTGTTTAGAATTAAACAAAATTACCAGAATAGCCTTGACCACCCGTTACAGTAACAAAAACTTAATCAAATTGATTTAATGTCATCTCACAAATGTTTCCAAAGTTGTAACAATGTCTTTTTCCACACTAATTTATAATTTAATTTGGTACCAAGGAACATTTTATTCAAACGGAAGTGTCAACATTTCGACAGCTTGTTCTAATTTAAATTCCACTCACCAGCTCCCCACCAGTACCCACCACCCATCTCCCATCCTACAAAACACAGGTGATTAATTTTACACGAAAACCACTCTTTGAATTTCAGTTACATTTATATGGATGACTTACCCACAGGTAGTATGTGAATTGTAATGCAAAAATAGCTATTCCTTCATTATCGAATGAGCCTGCCACTGATCGTGATATATAGCCCGGTACAATGGCGATGAAACAAGCAGCAAGTAGTCCTGCCCCTTGATTCCACAGCTCCTTAGTGAGAAGAAATGTTGATATTGACGTAAGACCACTGAACACTGGAGCTAGAAAGACACAGACATCCCGGATGTGGACTGTTATATGAAGTGTATTCAAAATCCAGTGTATACAGCCTGCTGTAACCATCAAGCCAGGATATACCTGCATGAGAAGAAAAAATAAACGTTAATTACGTTGAAATACTTTAAGTTAACTAAATCTCTCTTACCTATGGATTTGTTTTTACATTCCAACATTTAAAAGCAAGCTATGTAATTTAAAAATATACTTGACAGCACAGTTCCTAAAGACATTATGAAACTGAATCCATAACAAGGACACAAACACAATAAAACATCCCAAGGTGCTTCACGGGAGCAATCAGACAGAATGACAGTCAAATGAGGTAATCTGACATTTGACCAAAAGCTTGGTCAATGAGGTTGATTGAAGGAATAAATAAAAGGAGAAATAAAAAGGTGAGTGGGGAGGTTTGGCAACAAATTCCAATGCTTCAGTAGTTAGTTAAACAATTGGCAATAGCATGGCAAAGGAAATTGGATGGAATGAATAGATTTGTGGAGTTACTCGAATCAAAGGAAATTTAAACTACTCACTTTGAAATACTAAACAACTTGGGGTATAGCCATTGTTGACAATGGTACTGACCTCAAATTACAGATCACAATCCACACTAGATCAAAGGTTTTTTGGAGTTGTGAGCATAGAGGTTCCTACTTGGGAGCTAAACCTGTGCTCTGTCCCCCTACTCAGCAGCTAAAACTACTTCATGGGTCAGACAAAACCTGGAAACAGTGAAATGGGGTTACAGTGGGGAAAAGATTTGGGAAACACCCGAGTTTTAGTAAGCTCAGTGCACTTCTACACAAAACTCTATCTCCTTCCTCCATCTCATGACCTTTGACCTTGAAACACTCAACATATGCCTCAAGGAGTAACCTTAAAATTCCATCCACCATTTGAGAAACATTCACAACCAAGTTATTATCCACTTTCTGCATGCTGTTAATTTCCAACAGCTTCATGTACTGGAAGTACAGCACTGACCTCCAGTACGTCAGTCAGATCAAGCTGACAAACCTGTTGCCAGATTTGGAATTAACGTAAAGGAACAGTCTTGCAAATACATGCTAGGCTCCATTTTTGTGTCTTCCATAGACTTCAAATCTTTTCTGGCACATACCACTTCCCTTAACAATTTACTCAAACACATTCCTTCTGTAATCACATTTTAGAACACTTAAGCACTTTTAAAAGAAACTGCTGAAAAAAGAATTTTATCAAAACTTTTCATCTTGCACTCAGCAAGACAATCAGAAAGCTTTAAAAAACTTCAAACAAAAACTAATATTAAACACGAAGGCCACATAAGTGGTTTTTAAAATCATTGTTTTAAAAAAATTCTCGTTCTGAACAAAGATTACTGGACTTGAAATGTTAACTGTTTTCTCTCCATAGGTGCTGCTAGGCCTGAGTTTCTCCAGCACTGTTTTGGTTGGGTTAAAAAAATTACTCTGATTTGCATATTATAATAGTCAACAGTAAATATCTGATGAGGATGTACAAATTAGGCAGTTCAAACTTTGTTTGAGCAGTAAGCACACCAAACGTTTGAAACGAAGTTACAAAGCTGCAAGAGTTTCTACACGTATTAAACTTGCAAATGCCATTTTGAAAATACTCAAATAGTAGACACAAGGATACAAGCATGATGCAAACTGAACACAGCACATTGCATCACAGCCACAGGACAAAGGTGACTTTATCTTCTGAAGAGATGCAGAAGTTTTTAAACTGAGTCACCATTGTTATTTTGAATTGGAATCAGCTGACAATCCACTAGAAAGCAATCACTGGACTGTCTGCATTCATATCTTAAACAGCTAGCATCTGAACAGCAGCAGAGGTCTGAAGAAAGTTGCTTCATCATTTAGGCGTTTGATGAATGAAGAAACTACTTCTTAAAATTTACTGAAACTCACTTATTACATTCTTAAAACTTAGGATTTCATTTTTGAAGTTGTGCGATTCAGAATGCCATTATGTAAGTAAGGATGCATTCATACGCCCAAGATATATTTTGGTGCGCAACACTCACTCACTATTGAGTATTCATTAGTGTAAGGCACTGTTCAAGATTCAATTAACCACATACATGCAAGTTAATTTTCTATTATACTGGTATGTCTGAATGTACAGCCGTAATAGCCAGCAATTACTGTGTTAGTACCAAGATTTTCAGTAACAAGCAATATGATAAAATATAAATGGCTATTCCTTACACCTAATTTCCAATACCAGTCAGGGCAGCTGTTGTTTCTAACACTGGCCTGCATACAACACGTGGTTTGATAGCAAATGACAGCCATGAACGCTCAGTACCACAGAATATATAGCACAGAAATTGGTCATTGTGGCATGACTGTTTGTTTCTTTTGAGTCTCAACCCACCCTTTCTCTAATTCATCCGTAGAGTCCTGTATTTTCTCTGCCTTCCATGCTTATCCCTAAAATGCATTATAGATATGCCTCAACTTATCAAAGTAGTAGCACACTCCATCTTGCTGATCTCTATCAGATTTGTTGAAAACCATCCTTTATTAATGGTCTCTGGTTTAATTCTCCCCAAAGTATACTTTTTTAAGTTTAAAGATCTCCAATAAGTCACCCCACATCCTTCTTCAAATATAAATAACTTATCAAAGCCTCTATCACAAACACAGAAGAAACTCCGCAGGCCCAGCAGCATCTGCGGAGAGAAACAAAGTGAACACCCAGTGCGATAGGAGTCTTCCTTTGGAAGAAGTCACACTGGACTCAAAATATTAACTCCTGCATTCCGCAGATCCTGCCAAACCTACTGAGTTTTTCCACCAGTTTGTTTGTTTCAGAATTCAGAATATGCAGTATTCTGCTTTTACTTGAAAGCTTTTAATAATGTGGCTACAAGAACTGTAAACAACAGAGTCCGGCCTAAACAAGGTACAGTGCATTTTTAAACGGAACTTTACTTATATTTTCAACTGTCTAGGAATACACCTGACTGTTTTGCTTTTCTAATGGCTTTATTAATTTGCATTATTACTTTGTGATCTGCATATGTATACTCCCAAATCCCTTTGTTCATCTAGCTCATATATTCCAAGTAATGTGACCTTATTTTTCTTACCAAAAATGTAATATCTCATTCATCAGCTAATTAAATTTGCAGAGTAGGCTTACAAATTTAGTTGTTGCATTTTTAAGAGCATGGTTGGAGAGTTACTACAGGTCTACATCTTCACAGCAAGTTTTAGTATTGATCTGCGTTAGAACAAAAAAAATGGTAGAACAAGTTTGGAAGCACAAAACAAAAGTCTTTGTACATTTAATAGCACTATGATACTTGGTTTACAGGATTCTCTCCGAATTACACTTGGTCTCAAAAGTAACCTTGTAAAGAAGGTGGCATAACAGTTAAGTGTGCAATTGAAAAGTACAATGCTAAGACCTCATGGTTCTTGATATGTCTAGACTAGGACTGAAAATTGTTGACTTACTAGGGGGACGAAGGTAAACAAAACTCGAGATTTTCTCCCCCAATGAAATTCTTCTGTATGAAATTGCTTAAAATGTTTAAGAAAAAAATACAATGTTTTCACTGGGTAACCATCCAGTCGTGACTCCTTTGCTATTTGGTTTCCTCAATTTGGTTTGCGTTGTAAACAGCACAGTTGAAACATTACAATGCTTAGAGCTATTCTAAATCCAAGCGTCTTCGGGTAACCATGATATACAGTGGGACAATTGAATACCAAACATGATATTTCAGTCTCATAAGATCAATGACCTCTGGAACTGCTTTCAGGTCAGTGTGACGAATTCCCTTGTTTGGCAGGTGCTCTTCCAGGAGACACCCATTGTTGATTTTAACTGCACCCAATGACACTATAACACTCACTGAGCACTTACTGCACATGTACTGGAGGAGCTAGTACTGGCAAAGCAGGGACTTCTAATTCCTGACTATTGGGGTTCTTACGGCAGTGATAGTGTCTCTACCTCTGGGCTAGGAGGCATGGTGTAAATTTCCACCTGGTCTAGAGGTGTGGAGGAACATTGCATTTTACTAATCAGCCTATTCAAAATGTTTAGTTGTTGGACCCTTGTGTACAGTGGTAGCATTCCCAGCTCTGAACCAGGAGCGCCAGTCCCACCTGCTCCAGAGATGGGTTGTAACACCTCTAATGTCTGACTCTGCTTTGATGAGATCACTGCCTTCAATGTACATGTGCAAATCAACTTTGCAACTGGTGTCAGGAGTGTCAGTGGGCTTTGAAAGGAGTGAGATTGGCTCAAGACTTTAGCTTGACAAGAAAATAGACAGTTAAGGAATTTCTGGTGAAACAATTTATTTTAAGAAAGCTTAATTACTTTAAACAAGAACAATCTGTTAAGTTCATGATTAAAACTTCATTAATGGGATGTGGGCACCAGCTGGATGGACCGGCATTTATTACCCATCCCTAGTTCCCTTGAGAAGGTGGTGGAGAATTGCCTTTTTGAACTTTTGCGGTCCATTTAGTATGTGTAACCTCTACAATACTGTTGTTAGGAAGAGTTCCAGGAATTTGACCCAGCAACACTAAAGGAACAAATGGCTTGAAAGCAATTATAGATGATGGTGCTCCTATGTATCTGCTGCTCTTGTCCTTCCAAATGGTACTGGGTTTGGTAGGTGCTGTCTTGGGAGACTTAGCACTTACAGCAATATATTGAAAATCACTATGTGCAGACAGTGCAAGATAACAGTTTAAAAATACAATTTGAAGCCAAACAATCTCAATCAGGTCTTCAACCAGGAGCCTTTGCCTTCACTTAAAGTTTAGAAATTTCAACCTTAAAAAGGTACAGAGTTACCTCCAGCTTTTTTTTTGTATTGTCAATTTGTGGAAGCCCTTTACAAACCTAAATAGATGCTCAATCTGTGCATACCAGTTAAAAAAATAACTGGATGCTGCACTGCACCATAGACTAAAATCTCAGCAGCAAGCAGACATTCCCACTTAGACCTGTTTCTGCTTCACAGGAAATCAGATTGACAGATGTTGACATTTAACTGAACTTTCAAATTAAGTTATGTACTTTGCATTATTTTCACA